ATTTAAAAAACCTCCATATTAGTAAAAAGGAACTTTATCAAATCAAGATTTGAAAGGTACGTTCACTATCAATAAGGGACCCAAAAGATAAAGTGTGTCAATATAGGATTTGAATGACTTAAAACTATCAATCTAAGGCCTAAAATGTCATAGATTTTGATTTATTTATTTTTTAGTAATTCCATTGTTAATTTTTTATGATTTTCTCGTTACAAAAGGTTATTAGTTTAATAAGATTAAATAATATTTAATTTTTTTTAAATACAGAAACATTAAAATTCATGGAATTTTAGGTCTTAGAGTGATAATTCTCAATCATTCGGACCCTATAGTGAAACAATTTATCTTCCAGGTCCCATTTTGATAGTGAACATAACTTTCAAGTCCTTAATTGATCAAATTCCTTGTAAAACAAAAGTAATTCAAGTAGTCATACAGATAAAGTATTTACGAAAACATAAAACAATTACTTGATGAGTGTCTTCTCAGAGGTCCTATCTTCAAATCGGATGGCATAGCCGACTTCCTGTCCGAGCTCAACACCAAGCTCCTCCGCAACCCGTCTTTGGGTGAAATAAATATGTAAATCATGTTAGAGATGTGAAATATGGAACATTAAAGACCAACCGTGCTAGTGCCGATAGAGTGTGACTAACGCAATATCACAAAATCTATAAGCTATTGCAGACAATCACACAACAATCCAACAGTCTTTTAGTTCTGGTTTTGTCATTGTGTTTACTGAATTGCCATGAACACAAAATTTAAATAGTGTAGTATTACAAATTTAAAGGTGGGAGTAACACTTATAGAAGATAAGACGCAGGAGTTTCGATTGTGGTGGTTTGGTCATGTGCATAGAAGATCGAGTGATGACTGGGGAGGATAGGAAGACCCAAACAGACTTAGATTAGAGGAATCAGAACTGAGATGCTTTTTCATGGGTTGGATGAGAGTATGGCTTTGAAGAGAGCAAAGTGGAGGGCGCATATTCGTATGGACTATTGATCTCTTTTCTCTCTCTTTTATGTTATCTTTTATCTTCTTTATATTTCTATGTTATGTTATTTTTATCTTTTATCTTTGTTTATGTTTTTTATCTTGTTATATTTTATCTTTCTTATGTTCTTATGTACTTTTATCTTATATTTATATTATTCATTTTATCTTACCTTATCTTTTTATTTTTCTTAATTTTCTTCCTGCAAGTTGACTAGTTATGCTAATTATCTTCCTTGGTAGATTTTTTCTTCTACATAAACATCTATATTTGTTTCACCATCTATACACAGTTACACACACATTATATGAGGAGAATAAATAAATTCAAAGAAGGCAATGGAGGGAGTAACTATCTAAGCCCCATGGACCATGGTTAAGTATAGGAACTACGAAGTAAGAATGTGAACTGAAACAATTGTTTCCTGTTAAAAGTTTAACTGGTTAAAACAAACGGTAACATCAATAATGAAAATAAACAGGAAAATTTCACTAGGAAACCAGCTTTGTGAACCAGTTTTGAAGAGGAAATATTACCTGGAGACAGTAACAGCTGCGACCCGTCGAGGCTGAGTAACAGCCACCATGCCGGTTTTGGTGTATCCCCTTCTGTGAAGCATTTGCGAGAGCTGGGTACTCTTCCCTGATCCGGTCTCCCCAATAAGCACGGTAACTGGATTTTTCGCAATGGTCTCTATGATTTTCTCTTCAAATTGAAGGATTGGCAACTCCATTGGTTGAATCGAGCTGCCCAAAATAAAGAATTTGCTAGGGTTTAAAACTATGTTTCTTCGTCCTACTTCCTAAAATCCAGTGAAGAACAGGCTCCTTTTTTCATATGAATTCAGTATATGAAGAACACTCAAGCAGTCAGTATATGAAGAACACTCAAGCCTCACAAAAACGTAATCCTTCAATAAAAGTCTTTCATTATTACAAAACGACGTTGAATGTATTAAAAAATTATTTAAGTAAAACTTATCAAATAGTTTTATATACATAATTTAGTGGAATCCTTAACAATATATACTATTAATTTCTCTACAAATCAGCCTTCGAACTAACTTAAAAAGTGCAAATCACCTCTTATATAAAAGGTTCTGTCCGAGCGTTGCCATTTGGGGTGGTTCCGAGTGAAATTTTTTGATGAAAATTTTTTAGCATCTTCTTCATTAAGTCTAGTTTATCCATACCAAATTTCAGCTAAAAATTCAACCAATAAGGCAGTCAAATGATTATCTTCAAAAATTCATTTAACTGCCTTCCGATTGAATTTTTTCCTGAAATTTTGTATCAATAAACTAGACTTGATGAAGAAGTTGCTCGAAAAATTTCATCAAAAAAATCCATCGGGAACCGCCCCAAATGGCAACGGCCTTGGAAAATACATAAGTATAATAATAGTAATGTTTTAAAATTATGAACCCCTAATTTTTTCAATTTTTTGGGGCCCTAGGGCTTGGGCCTCTCCAGCCTAACATAAGGCACGGGCCTGCACCCGAGCTAGAAGTATAGGTGTAGAATGTAACGAACTTTTTCCGCTATTAGCCGGGCTTATGCCTGTCAAGGAAAAGGAACAGAGCTTTTATAGAACTATTCTATAACCGAACCCGAGCAGATTTTTAAGTTATAAAGGTTAATCTAACCGAACTTAAACATAGTACTGCTTTTGTCCAAATTGATTTGCATATTTGACTTTTTTTGGGTCAAACAATTTCATTTTATTTGCTTAATTAGGATGTCACATTTTAATTATCTACTTACTTCTACTTATCTACTTACTTACTAATAAAGTAGAACCTTTATAATAATTGCTATTGAGTACAATTTATCAATTATCTAATTGCTATTAAGTACAATTGATGAATGATATAATTGTATTAAGTACAAATTGATGAATGATATCTCTACAACATAATAAGGGTGAACGAAGGTTAGCCTGTTTTGGGTATAGATATTTTGTTGGTGGTACTGTGAGCTGTGTTGACCTGTACATTATGCTTAAATGTTGGAACACTTTGCAATTTGCCTGACTTATATCTCTGATAACTGATGAATCCGCTACCTCCTTTATTACCCTTCCGTTAGTAATTCCCGCGGGCCCATGTTTAGCCGCACAAGCAGGGCTCATCTTTAGCCGCACACGCAGGGCCCTTCTCTTGCTCCATCTCGACTCGCGCAGGCTTCGATCGCGCAGGCTTACCTCATGGTCGGTCATCCCTTCGTCTTCCTCGCAGGTGAGTATTCATCGCATTTATGAAACGATTAACTTCAGCTTGTAACTGCAAATCGATTCTTCTTTTCTCCAATGCGGGTTATGGAATTCCAATTGGCGCGGCCACATTCAATCCTTCTCTCCCATGGTCCTATAAATGCATCTTATTCAATTGGCAGACGATTTTCGCCACCTGCATGCACCTTTCCGGTATGTCTTCTATCCATATTTGGAATTGTTCTGCCTTTCTTTCTGCCTCTACTTTGCAGTCCTTAGTAAATTTTAGTACTTTGTCTTCTACCCATGTCTGAGGTACTTTGTGGTTTGTTCGTTGAGTAGAATACCCAATATAAATGCTTGTTATAGTTGGTTGATAATCTGAGATATTCAAATGACGAATTTTCCTGCAAATAGTTCTTAATTCCTTAAAAAAGTCATAGGTAAATAAGATATTTTTATGTTTTGTTTCTTCTCTTGAAGTCCATTTGAGTTTCTGATAGTGGCTAACCCGCATATACTGAATTCTTGGGAAACATATTCGCATCAGAATATTAAATTCTACTAATTGCGTCACTTAATAAGGCAGACCAATTTCAAATATATTTATTATTTGTAGTTTAAGACATACTTTCCATAAGCTAGGAAAAACCGCTTTCACGGTGAAATTGAAATTAAGCGATGATACTTTGTCAAATTCTATCAATAAGCTTTTTTTCATGGTGTTTTTAGGTTACTAAATCATATGCACAGTTTAGAAACAAAACCGCTTCCTTTTGTTTATTTTGAACTCTGTTATTTAGGTTTTTCTAATTTGAGTGACTATTCTGCTATTCTGAAATGTCATTTAGATGTTCTTAGCACAGCAGTGTTATCTATTGCTATTGGATTTTTTTTAAATTGATTTGATGATTTCTAATGGCTGAATTGTGAGTCAATTTTAGTTAATGAGATGATGTTTGTAGTTTTTAAAGTTTAAAGATGTACGTACTATCCGGATTCATAATTCATACAAACATAAGTGCACTTTTCAAACAAAACTTAAGAGCCAAAAGTAAAAAGAAAACGATTTTGTTAACTCGAGTTAGCCCAACAGTACATTCCGAAATATTTTTAACTCAAAATGAATTTGATAAATACTTTTTTGTTGAGCATTAATTTAGAAAAAATCTCCATTAAAAAGTACAAGAAAAAATAAAATGAAAGAATACGAAATTTTTTTAAAAACACCTAAAAAATAAAATGAAATACATAAAAATATATTAAAAATATATAGGCCTTGCCACTGCATCTGTTCCCACCCATACAGCCGGGTGTAGGATATACGAACTCAACCTCATCCGTCTTAAGGTTGTTTTCTTTTGGATTGAAATTTGCTGGTCTAGTCTGGTCTGATTTGTTTAAATCTGGTCTAAACTGGTCTGGTCTGGTCTGGTCTGGTCTGGTAAACGTCTGGTCTCTATGTACTCCCTCCGTCCCTAAATGTTGTTCCAATTGCGGATTACGAAGGTTGACCGAAGATAAAATTAAATGATCCCTGTGAAAACTCGGATTATTTTTAGTAAATAAAATTACATATTCAGAAACTACATTAAACCCGCTACAAAGCCTGCAAAAAATAATTCAACTTTTATAAAATTTTGATATAAAAAGTAAGAGTTTAGTGATTTAAGTTGACCTCGATAAGCGAAATGAAACTTCTTTTAGGGACAGAGGGAGTATTTTATAACTATGAAAATTTGGTCTGATCCGATCGGCTTATGTCTGATCTTGGCTACTGAAAACGGTTGAAAAGAAAATATGCTAAATCCTGCACACCGCCTAAAAAAGTGCTATTGCTACATTCCCTTCTTTAACACCGAGCGTGTGTCGTAAAGACTCGTACGAAAGTGCATTTTTGCTGATTTGAACGCAATGGGTTCCGGTGGCTGCGAGGACGTAGGAGCTCCGACGGCTATGGCTTTGGGTTGCTACGATGGCGTACCCGCTACCACTCCGAATATGGAAAATAATTGTTCTAATTCTAGTGTGTATGATCATCATTATAACAGTATGAGTTCCAGCATGGCTACATCCAGCTCAATCCCCATTGATTCCTCTAATATTGGTTTTCGGGTTTGCATCTCCCTCCCAATGCCTTTGCTTTTTAGGGTTTAACATAAAATTCCAGTTTTCTTGCTGAACGTGTAACCTTTCTTTTGCAGTTGCTAAAGAAGCACGGTTGGAAAGAAGGAACCGGACTGGGGATTGCCGGACAGGTGATTATTTTTATTATTATTGTTGTTGTTGTTCATTCAATTCATGCTGATTGTTATCCTTCGTACACACATTGACATGCCAATTTGGGGATTCTGTTTTGCTCCGCAGTCCGCACCCATGGTTCAAATATAACATTGCAGTTGTTATTTCCATTCACTGTTTCTTGGATTCTTGGCATCATATGTGGCAGTATTCCTAAGCTTTATCAAAATATAAATAAATAAATAAATAAATATAAGCGATTTGCTATAGTCTCAAAGATTTTCATGCATTTATGGGGTGAAGAGGAAATCATGGAGGCCTCCTTTTCAACTGTTGCACACTTGCACATTAACATGTTTTCTGATCAATTCTTGGAAAAGTTTCCAGTTGAACAATTTGATGTCTTAGGAATTCGTATATTTGATTTTTAACCATGAAATTATGGATGAATACAGATTACCAACACTACTCACACGATTTTACCCTGTGCTGTAATTAAGGAGGGTCCTTATCTTTTTACTGTTTATGCACTGCTGTCTATAAATAAGCTGTGAAGTAGGTATACTTACGATACATAGTAATGCTGTTAAGTGGTACTCCGTATTTGGTATGCTCCGGTTGTAGTTTTGGAAGATTAATTAAGGGGATTTCATCAAACATAAAATATCTGTTATTCTTAATTGATCCCTGATTGAAGTGATTTGATGTTTGACTTATTTTAAATTTGTTTCAAAGAGTTATTAGTCTGGTAAGCTGTCTTGTTGATTGTTTTTCATGCACAGAGTAGATTTCGTAAATGACTTGAACTTCTATATGAATCGTGCAAGGATAAGTAAGAACACTGGATGATCTCTCAAGGAGAACTGACCCCATACTCACAAATGATTTTTTCATCTACGAGATCCCTTGTTATTTTATGCTCATTGAGAATGATATTTCTTTGCTTTAATTCTCTTAAGACTCTTAGAGCATAGACACACAATATCCTGCCATTCTGCAATAAAAGAGAATTGTTAAACATTTTTTTTTCTAACAGGGTAGGCTGGAACCTGTAGAAGCACATGTTAACAAGAATAAGCTAGGTTTGGGAGCAGAGAAAGGAAAGAAAGCAAGTGCGCCAGAAAATAGCAAAAAGTACAGGAAGGAAGATAAAGTAAGTTACTTTTAATTCAATTTCAACTAATAATTACAGCGGCATTTGTTTATATTATTCACGGGAGCTTGATTAGTGCACAATAATGTTCAAGTGGGTATGATGATACGAACTTCTATAGTCTCCTTATTTTCCAATCGTCAGCACGACCTATATACTCCCTCCATCCCAAAATCCAAATTGCTTTTGGCATGGATTTAATGAGAAATGATAAAAAGGGGTATGTGACCTTTATTGGCTTTATAAGAGGTTTTGTAAATAGTCCAACTTCTCAAATCATAAAAGAGTAAACTGATGTAGGATTTTGATAGGGATAAAAGAAGCCTATTATTACTTTACTGTTATTCTTATGACGATTATTACTCATTATTATTATCATCAATTCATCATATTATCATTAGTATCCTAAGTATTAGTGTTGGTTTCCTAATGTTATCAATGGTTGATTATTATTCATTACTATTGTTAGTTTCCTTAAGTATTAGTCTTAGTCTCCTAATGTTATTACTTATTAATAGTTGTAGTTTCCTACTAGTATAGATATTCTGTTTTAGTTAATATTCCTAATAGAAGTATTGTAATACAATTAGGGTTACTCTAATACTAGACCACAAGACTCTTGGACTAGAATAAATAAAGGTGTTATATTCATTAATAAGATCATCAATCTTTTGGATATATAATTCTTCTTGTGTGCTCGGTGGAACCGACAGACACTTCTATGCTGAGGACGGGATGGTGTGTCATTTTTCGAGTTACCGTACTTTTCGATCTTCTTCAATGCATCTCCCAACCATGGCTATAACAATTTTCCAGTTGCCATCCTCTTCTGTTTTTTGTATTGTTTTATTTTCTGCCCAAAACCTAGATACTGAAAGTCTGAACTAGAGAAACTATATCCGTCAGATCCTGAATTCTACGGTTACCGTATTATATTTCTTTATGTCAGCAGAATCTAAGGAAAAAAGCAGAAATCTTTCCGGTGTTTTATTTTCACGCTTTGGTCCACTGCTGCAAGCTTTCCTAAGCGACATCTTTTGTGTCCATTATTCCTGGCTATCTTAACTCAGAAGCAAGCAACTGGTTGGCTACACCTTCATATGTGTAAGGTTCCAAGTACGTCTGTATTCTGCATAATAGTTAATGTTTTGTTTTGTTTCCCTCCAGGAGGGATATGATTTTCCAGTAGAATTTAGTACTTCTGTATTCTTTTGTTTTTTAGAAGTATGAGGTGCCAAAAAAAGGATATAAAAACAAGGGAAAAAATAATAATCAGGAAAAAAGAGCTCTCAAACTTTGTGTGCCCTGATAAGTAGTTTATGTTGTTCCAGAGATGAGTATGATTTTTATTGTGTGTTTGCGGACAAATCGGTTCAATATATTGAAGTTTAAAGTTTGACGGGATTGAACAACAAGCATCGGTATACTTTAACTTCGTCCTGAAAAAATGGTACCCAAGTAGTTTTACGGGTATGGGTATGTGCTTTTGTTTCTGTTTTCGCGGCAACTGTTTAAGTTTAAAATATTAAACTCTGATTTATTTTACGAAAACAAATTTGCTTTGTATTCTTTCTATTTAATGTTGTGCTGTCTCTTTTATGAAACTTTCTATTCTTTCTATTTTGTAGAACTTTTTATTCTTTCTATTTTGTGAAAATAAATTTGATTTTTCTTTATCTTGAAATTCAGTTGTTGTTTATATTTAATGTTGTCATGAAATTATGCTTTATGTAAGTGAAGTAAATGTTGTGAGATTATGCATAGTTAATACTACCTCCGTCGCACTAACATTGGGACATGTGGAGGTAGTGCGGTTATTAGAAAAATGGGTTTATGGGGTTGATATTGAATCGATAAAGTAAAAATAAAGTAATAATGATTTACAACCACACAAATTTTATCAAATTTGGTATGAGACAATCTCAATGGGACAAACCAAAAAACAAAAGATGAGACGGTCTTAGCGGTACGGATGCAGTAGTAAATTTCATGAATGACTTTCTACCCCCAAGTCTCTAAACTATCCTGATTTTATGAGTGTTGTATAACATCATAATTGTAAGTTGTTTTTAATTGATATTAAAGAGATGATTTATTTAAATAGTGCATAAATGGCTGATGTGAAACCAATATATATGGAACTATGGATCCATCAAAAGATCCTATGCAAGGTTTAAAAGGGCAGGTTCGGGTATCAAGGTAGTTTGTTCCTTAGAGGTGATGCGTAGCCTTGAGGAGTATTGAGGCGTAAGCCTCAAAATATACAGACATATAAAACTTAATATAGTTAAACTAGTAACAAACAACTCAAGAAGTAAAGGATATCTATAAGACTATAATTATAAGTCCAAAAAGTGTGAGTGGAATTCAAGCCATAAGTTTACTCCTCCCTCCGTCCCACTAAGAATGGGACATTGCGGTTTACGATGCTTGACCGACGATAAAGCAAACAGATCCTTGTCCGCACTCAAATTATTTTTAGAAACAAAATTACATATTCACAAACTACATTAAAAGTTGTACAAAGTCGCAAAAATCAGAATTAAATTTGATAAAAATTTGATATATAAAGTAAGAGATTAAGAGTGATTTGTGTTGATCAAGTGAATAGGAACTGGGACATTGTTAGTGGGACGGAGGGAGTATTATCTATGCATAATCTCACAACATTAGTTTCACTTACATAAAGCATAATCTCACAACATTAGCATCACAACCATAGTTGTGATGCTGCAAGTTGTGACCCAACTCAGTAAGAACAGGCCCAAACCCCAATTATCTGATAAGCCATCAAAATTCTAAAAAAAATGACCAATTTGAAGCAAAACGGGCAACTCCAAAGACCGAACCAGACTTGTTAAAAGCGGAAAAAAATGCTCAACCTGCACCTGGCTTTTGAGAAGCGTCACGCCATGAGAAAGATACGCTTATCCCTGCACTTTTCTTGAGTGAGCTTTTCCATTAGCATCACAACCATAGTTGTGATGCTGCAAGTTGTGACCCAACTCAGTAAGAACAGGCCCAAACCCCAATTATCTGATAAGCCATCAAAATTCTAAAAAAAATGACCAATTTGAAGCAAAACGGGCAACTCCAAAGACCGAACCAGACTTGTTAAAAGCGGAAAAAAACGCTCAACCTGCACCTGGCTTTTGAGAAGCGTCACGCCATGAGAAAGATACGCTTATCCCTGCACTTTTCTTGAGTGAGCTTTTCCATTAAGCGACACTTTTCCGAGCTTCTCACAAAAAGCGTTGACAGGTCATTTTTGTTTTGTTTTAGTCTTCTCCTCTCGTCGCTACAAGTTAGGGTTATCAGGTCCAGTGTCGTTCGACTCTTTCCTCACTCCAGACAAAGCCAGTGCACTGAAGGAGCAGCCTGCGATTGAAGAAGCCGGTTTCTCTGTGTCGCTTCCCAGTCGCGAGTCGCAAGTTCGGTCTGAAGAAGCCGCAGGTGAACGCCAATTCTGAAGAAGCTGCAGTTCTATTTCATCCAGACTTTCTCACTTTTAGAGTTTAGTCTTTGTTTTTAGTTTGAGAATTTGAGACCAGACTTCTACAACTCATTCTTACTCTGCATCTGCATCCTGTTTTTTCTTTTTTTGAAAATCTTAATCTTACTCTGCTTCTATAAACTTCTAAAACAACTTATATTATATAGATATAATATAATGAAAGAAATAATTAGATTATCATTTTCTTGGTAGTAATTATAGTTTTGAACAGGTGAATTATATATCATAATCAAAGTATAGATAGATAATGCCTTTTGTTGAACAAAGAAATCATTTTCTTGGTAATAATTATACCTATTATTCTATCAAGTATTAATCTAGTAATTTTTTACAGAAAGATCAATCTGTATTCACATTATAAAGTAAGAGATGCGTATGTTGCGTTGGAAGCACAGAAACGTGAAACCACTTAGGTTCCCGTTTCGGAAACATATCGAAAACGGGAAACGGCTGCAAATGCCCAGAAACGCCTTAGAAACGGGCAGAACCCCCAATTGGTTCAACCCCCAAGGGCCCCAATCTGTTCAATCGGACTGAACTCCATCACTTTAAAGTTTAAAACAGTGAATCGGCACACATACTTAAATAGATGACGGGAATAGCTCAATTGCTCAGGCGGACGGAATCCCAATCGAACGGGAATCGCTCAGGCAGATAGGAATCACACTCGCAAACACACTCTCCAGCCTCCAACATGGCGAATAGTAGACGCAGACATAGAGTACGCTGAATTTTGGGCTTCTCGGAATTTTGGGCTTTGGCCGACTCCCTCGTTCGCAGAGAGTAAGTATTGTCGTATGGATGTAATAACCTAGAAAGCACAGAAACATGATATTTGTTTTTATTTGTAACTTTTTTATTTTTAATTCATGTTTCCGTGCCGTACCCGTATCTTGATATTTTAAGATTGAAGTTTCCCCGTCCCCGCTTCCGTTTTCGTTTCCGTCCCGGTGCTACGCAGGTTGGATGTATGGACATACTAGAAAAGATCGCTTGAGAAATGAGATAATTAGACAAAAGGTGAGAACAATATAAAAGATAAGATGTAGAGTCTCGTTTGTGCTGGTTTGGTCATGTGCGTAGAAGACCGAGTCTTGCACCTGTTAGACGAATTGAGAGGTGGGGAGAAGAGGCAGGGAGGAATGGGAGAGAAAGACCCAAACAAACTTGGATTAGAGGAATCAGAACTGATATGCGTCTTCTTGGGTTGGATGAGAGTATGACTTTAGAGAGAGCAAAAGTGGAGGGCACACATTCGTGTGGACGAATGATCTCTTTTCTATCTTTCCTCTCTTTTTCTTTTATCGTTTATCTTTATTACTCTCTTCGTCCCCTTTTAAATGTCTCGTTTTACCATATTGAGATGTCCCTATTTAATTGTCTCATACTTTATTTGGTAAAGTTTGTCACTCAAAACCATTCTTACTTTATCAATTAATATCAACCACACAAACACACTTTTCTTAAAACTCGTGTCACCCTCTTCCGGGACATTTAAAAGGGGACGGAGGGAGTATCTTTTTATGTTATTTTTGTCTTCTATCTTTTTTATGCCCTTCTATCTTTTGATCTTTATCTTTCGTATATTCTTATGTTATTGTTATCTTATATTTATCTTTTATCTTACATTTTCCCCTTATCTTTCTTCTCTTTTTAGCAATGATGTATTAAGATTCATGTTAGCTGACCCCAAAATCTTTTGAGATTAAGGTTTGAATGTTGTATTTTTATAAAAATGATAATATCTTTCACTACTTGTAATTTTGAAATGTAAAATAATTTAGGTGTGTAGAATAAAATTTGGGACATATGAAGAACGCATTGAGGCTTAGGCCTCGTAAATGCAAAACGCCTCAAGGTAGTTCTTCTTTAAGCATTGGTTATGAAGAACTTGGGCTACACGAGCCTGAGGATGATGAAAATTTTGATCTTGATGAATTGTTTGATGTTTGCGTACTGTTAATGAATACTCCATCCGTATTGAAATGTTCTCTACACTAGCTTTGGGCACAATATTTTAGGATAGAATAGTAGGGATAGTGAATAGTGTATAAAAAGTAGGAGAGAGTGTGTAAAAATATGAAAGAGAAGATAAAAAGTAGATGAAATAAGGGTAGTTGAGTATTATATCAAGTGTAAACTTACTAAAAATAGAAGTGTAGGGAACTTTTAAATACATCCCATAAATGAAAGTGTAGGGAACTTTTGAATACGGAGGGAGTATTATATAGTTGTTGATGAACTTCACATTTTGATGCGATGAGAGTATTACGGAGGGAGTATTATTGACTTTAATGTTTACACTTGGTAGTGACTGCTGAGAATTTAGCTTGTGCATAGTTTTCTTGTCAAGGTTTGGAGCCGTACACCTTGTGTGATAGGGATCCCTTTACCTTATTCGTCACTCTGTGCACATCTTCCCTTTTATAATACGAGTTGTTTGTAATTGAGTTTGGTGCTATGAGAATCGTGCAAACTGTTTTATACATCATGTGACCTTTTAGTTTTTAAAATTATTTTTCTGAGTCGATCTGCATGCTTATTAGTTATTAGTTGATGTTTGTAAATATAACTCCTAATTTGGTACTAAAAGTTTGTTTGCTCTTTCAGATGCCGGTGAAAAAGAAAGTCACCAAAAAGATGAAAAAACAGATGGAGTTGGAGAAGCGCTTGCAAGAGCAGGAACTGGTGAAACAATTCTACAGGGAATTTTGGCCCGACAATGTTTGATGCATATATTTTACATCCTTCACAGCTGGCGTTCTCTATCCTGATCTTTACATCGTTAAATCATCCCTCTCTGCGTTGTGGCAATTTCTATCCTGATCTCTACCTTACTCTATACAATGTGATGCAGATCTTTCGGTTTTTAGAAGGCTGTTTGCTTTTTACAGAACTACTAAAAATAGTGTATATAAAAACACCCACAGAGCCCTTTGACACTCTTTAGACGGAGCATTTGAAAATTGAAATGGTTAGCTTAGTGTATGGGTGGATCCCTGGTCCTGGACCCGTTCAGAACCGGCCGGACTGGGACCCTTTTCCCCTAGATTTGGGCTTAGGACTGGCGCCGGACCTCTCCCCTACCGGTCCGATCCCGACATGTTTTTTTCTTATGCATTTCATGGCTTAGAAATATTTGAAAACGTAATCTATTTTAAGACGCCCTTATTAGATGTGTATAGTCTATTTTAAAAAAATGAGCTGAAATTAACTTTCATATTATTAATATTTTTTTATCAAAAGATGGAATTATATTATCAATTTATGACACCATAAAAAGTAAATATGTGATCGATTAAGGATTACCTTTTTAATGTGTCTAGGGTTGGACCCGGGTCAGGCCAGGTTGGGTTGGGGTAGGGCCCATCAGGTTGTAGTATTGAAAAAGTGAAGCTTGGTATTGACCCGGTTTGGTTCGGTACCATTTGGGCCCAAACAGTACCGTCCCAGGTTGGCCCCACCCTCTAATTATTTTTTTTTGAAAAATTAGCGGATAGCCTTGACTAGTCCGGTCCTAAAATATCAAGCCCGAAGCCTGACCCGTTCTACCCATGATTCAGGTATTGGATCAGTATTGGACTCGAAAAAACCGAGCCGGGCAAACTGGTAGAAAGAGTAACTCAAAATTTTATAGTGTTTTATTGTTTTATAGCTTTATTGTATTTAAACAATTTAGACCACTTTATACACAAATCACTTGTTTGGTGTTATTTTATCAGTAGTTACAAACTTACAATGCACCATAGAGAAATGGTCCCGTATAGGACTTTAACTTATCATATATACTCAAATAGGACATACCAGTTTTTAACTCTTAAATAGGACTAAAGTTTGACGTCTTTTCCAGAATTACCTTAAGCTCTATGTTTGCATGGCGCATGTCTTACCGCCAGTGTCTCTGTCTTATGCAGTCCTGGACTCGGGCCGGATGGCCCGACCTGGAACCGGCCCGGGAACGGTACTGCGTTGAACCGGCCGGCCTGGTGGCCCGGCCAGTGACCGGTCCAGGTAGGCCCGGCCTAGGGGGTTCCCGGTGCGGGCTCGGGTCACCAAAAAGTCGAACCGGCCCAGCCGGTTCGGGCCCGGTTCGGGATTTTTATTTTTTTATTTTTCAATTTTTTTTAACTTTTTGGGTTGGGCTGGGTATTTTGGGCCATTTGGGGTGGTTTGGGGGTGGGGGGGTTAATTAGGAAAAGGGAAAAAAATTGACCCGAGGCCCGGCCTGGACCGGACCCGGTGGCTACCCGGCCCGGCCCGGGCCCACCTATTCAGAACAGGCGGCCGGGCCTAGGCCCGGCCCGAACCCGACCAGGCCCGAATCCAGCCCTAGTCTTATGTACTGACAAATTCCTACCACACAAGCTACAGTCTCATACTCTCATCCGAAGTGGAGCTTCGTGGCGCAAATTGAAAAGGAACGGCCGGACAGTAACCTACTAGGCGGCAGGGACACTGTGGCAATGTGACGACACGGCGGCGGTACCAGAACACCCTGCTTATGTAGTAGCTCGTGCGGCGACGACAAGACGACTAAACGGCGATGTCGGCGTGAATCTGGAGGCACTTTTTCTCCACCTGAGATTATTTGATTTTTAATTCAATATTTTTTCTTTGAGCTGAATTGGCATCTGCCTTAGTGCCTGAGATGGTTCTTTGTTTATTCATGTCGATGCAGTTCTCTAACCAGGTTATCACATACGGAGTATAAAACATTGGAGTGTTGGGTATAGATCTGATTTTTTTTGTTCTCCCTTTCTCTTGAATATTTCTTTTTTCTTTTATACTCCGTAATATAGATACTATATGCTACTACTGCGTACAAAGTATACGGAATAATTTCGTCATAAATCATCTCCTTAATGAAATAATTATTGAAATTAAATTCTGAAAATGGTAGTATTAGTTTCAATAGCTTTGACATTCATTTCCAATTTGTTACCGTGTTTTTAATATTGTGCAATTAATTACAAATTACAAGACGTGACAATGTCACAACATTTCTTAATAATGTTACAATGACAATGACAATATCACATTCTTTAGTTGAGAAGAGTTGTGGCCAGCTTACTTAAATTGTACGAGCAGGTGGGCTGATTAAGTATGTACTCAACTAATCGTATGAATATATTGTAACATTGCCATATTTTCTACCTTTTAATTATGACAATGTTAACATTCTCACAATTATTTCTTTTTGTAACAGTGTCATTTTTCTAACATTGACATTGCCACGACAATGTCATTTTCATTGTCGTTATAACGCCGACATCCAGTTAAAATGCATCATTATAATGTCATTTTTATAACATTGACATCATCACTATACGAAATTGTGATTTTTTTTACATTGTGACATTTTTATACATTTTGACAATATTTACAATATTGCGAGATTGTTTATTTTTTTAACGTTGAAGTGCTAATGTTTATTTTGTTAACGTTTTCTTGGCATCAATATTGTCATTATTTGACATTATGACATTTTCCCTATATTTTGACCATATTTGTAATATTATAGCATTGTTTGTTGTGACAAAGTTTATAATGAATTTACAAATTAAGATATTATGACAGTGTTTGTTATGACAATGTTTATAATAAAACCTATGACATTGTGACATTTTTTAACATTATTGTAACATTTTTCTAGATATTGTGACTTTATTGATTTTAACATAGTTTATAATGGTAATGTATGGTCAAACGTAACAACTTTTGTGAATTGTGATGAAATTGGTGACAATATAATAGTTCGTATATAACAATGTGATGTAAAAATGTGTTTTTTTTACATGACCACTTATTCCTCTAATTTAAATGTTACTAGTATTTCTTAAGTATTAAATTTAACTAATATTCCTCAAAAAAATAACTAATATCCTAAATTGGGTTGGGTCCTGTGGGGACGTGGGGGTAAAATGCACCATTCCTTCGATTTAATTTAACGTGAATCCTAGTTTGGTTGGTTCTAGAAAAAAAGGATGACACCCCATCCCTGAGGGCCCCCCAACACCGACCGGACGACACGATGAGAGGATGTAAATTGGACTATAATCACAATCTGACATATAAAGAGTGAGGCTCCGTCCCCGGTACTTGTAGAGGCCCTATGTATTTTTAGCATAGTAACCTATCATCACAGTTGCCGAGATTCAAACCCGGGACATAACTCTTGTGACACTCCCTCGCTACCAGTTGAGCTACGCCCACCGGTTAGTTTGGTTGGTTCTAGTATTTGCGGTTCAAGTCATGAAAGAAGTAAAAGAACTATATAGAAATAAGCATTAAATTAAAAAATGCTTTAATATCCCACTCTCCAATCATGAAAAAATATTTGCCTTATTTTTTGGTTTCTTTTTTACATGCTCCCATCGTGCCGTCCGGTCGGTGTTGGGGGCCCTCAGGGATGGGATGTCATCCTTTTTTTTATTTTTTTTATTTTTAAGAAATAGATGGTAATGTTCACTTGGGCAATGCTCTGTTGCTCTTTGTAATGATGAAAAGATACCATGCCCGACGTTTTCATATGGGTTTCTTCTTTACAAATTACCTAAAAAATTAATAAAATCCATTCCGAGTTGCATCTAAAATGGATTGAGTGCATTTATTTAAAATAAGGACTACACCAAAAATCTATTTAGATCTTATCATTCTTATATGGCCTCATTTGTTTTTAAAGAAACCGAAGATTAGAGAGAATTCTTGCCAACTTTGAATATGAGTAAATTTTTGCCAACTTTGGTATTACTAGGCTTTAACCATGATATTTTTTTCCAAACCTGGCAGATTACTCTTATTCAGGGAATAAAAAATATGATAGTTCTATTTTGGAATTTCAAAACGTTTTTACTCCTATTTAAGACAATTTCTATTAGAGAAATGATGTAGAAAGAATAATGGTAAGGGAAAAATGAGAGACATCGCCATGGGGTAAGTTTTTGTTAAGTTTTACTCATGGATGTCAATCATAATGTGTACATTTAGTAGTTGTGTTTGATAATGTGGAGAAAAACTAACAAAAACACATAAAACCGTTCAGATAAAGAGAACTATTTTAATTATTAATTGGGACTCTTATTAATTTTGATGTATATATTTATCGAGGTATACATAATGCACATTGTTACATTGAAAATGGAGAAAATTGCTCAAACTAAGACTAAATCATAGCCTCCGGCCCTCCTTCCAAGAAATAGGACCATGTGTTTGGTTTTCCATAAATAGGAATAATCATTCATTTTCTCCCCTAATTTAATTAATTACGGTAATTAATTGCCCCCTAGTTCCATTGCATAATCAAGTCAGTCCGGTAGCAGCGGGATAAGTTCGTGGTGGCGACAACGGACTCCGGTAGCGGCGGTTTTCTAGCAAACGGGCTTTCAAATTTTATTTTTCGTCCTTTCCAAAATAATCTCTACTTTCCTTTATTGGCAACAAATTGTAATTCACTACACTTTTTACATATTCTTAAACATTTGTATCTTCTCTGAATACATTTCCGATATACAATATCTACTATCTTAATCTCGTAGTATGCGGAGAATACTACTCTTATTTTGTGTGTATATTTACACAAAAAAGTGTACCCCTTTTCAAGTAACACACTTTGCCGGAAAGGCAAAAAAGCACACATATTTGAAAATAAGAGGAGCCGGTTCCCAGCAGCACATCACACTTTGCAGGAAGTCAATAGAGAAGTACTCCTTATTTGAAAATAAGAGTTTGAGCGGAGTAAGTAGTAGTTTGTTCTTAAAAATGAGAACAGCTTCCATATTTGGTTGATATCGATCACGTTCAATAGAAAGAAAGGTTAGAAAGCCTAGCGAACCAGAAAGGTGTACTGCAAGCAAGCAAGACTATTATCTAGCGGCTAGTGTGATATGGGTCAAGTGCAGAGTGGGGACGAAGCTGCTGCAGCAGCATCAGCCGATCAATCTCATATCCCTGCCGCTACTCAAAGTGCTTCATCGCCCACCGATTCCGCGCTCCACCAGTCTTCGCCGCAGCCTTCGCTTGATTCATTAATTGCAGGTGTGTCCTTTTTTTTTTTCTAGTTCTCCCTCCGTACGTTTTCGGATTTTCTTATGTTTCTTTGTCAGAAAGAAGATTTAATTCAACATTATCAATCAAAACCCTAGTAATTTATTGTATTATGACTTATGAGTTGAACGGCTTAAATATCAGGATTGCATTAGCAGGGTATTATATACATTGAATTTGATTTCCTTTCCTTTCTTAAGCTGCTTAAACATGTACTGTCTTTGTCTGAAATAAGGCTCCTCGTTTGATTTGTCACACTTACAAATCGTACTACAATAGTGAAGTTGTGTTATTGTAATATATCTAGATGATATATAAATAATACGTAGTATGACATCGCTTGAAAGGAAACAGTGAGCTTGGGACAGACAAAAACGAAAACAGGTGTAGTTTGGGGTAGACAGACTCATGGAGTATACTTTTTAGTAATACATGGATGACTGGAATCTAGTCCATAGGTAGGCCGGCTTATATTACTGTATTAGTGGATTGGGCCTTTGTCACCAGGCCAAGCAGTACCCTGGTTGTTTTGAATAAAGCCCCTCCACACGTCTTTTGCTCTTCCCCGGCGGAAAATCATGCAGATCATCAGTTATGAAGGGGGAAACAATGTACCATGTGTTGAGATCAAAGAGTCTGTATAAAATTCCATTATTGTCTTTGGTGTACAGTGTAGTACTAGCTTTCATCGTGATGCTACATCTGGACTTGATTATTTTGACAGTGTTTCTTTGTTACTTGTTGGTTACACACCCTTCCAGAAAGGTTTTAAATCTTCTTTTTTGTCCTCAATACTACCGTTGGCCTTATAATATGGCTCCTGTAGGGGTTGCTTTGCTACTCCAATGGCACTTTTTATGGGCCAAATCTTTTTGTGCACATAATTTGTTTTTATGGGATACAATATAGATGGATTTTGATGGAGAATTTCCTTTTTAATCTTTTTTTGTTTAAGATGAGTAGATGACAGATAGTTCTCTTCTTACATCAGCCAAATTTGTATTGTTTTAAGGCACAATGGATGCCGGTGAGTTGTTTCCAGGGCATAACTTTCTAAAAAAGCTAATTGCATATTTTTTCTGGGATCCACAATTTATCTTAGACGTTTAAAACTTAAGACTTCAATGCACAATACTTGGAAGTCTGAGGGTTTGTAGTATCTTTTTCCTGGGTTTGATTTTGATATCCTAGTCTAGTGATACTCTCTAGTAGGGAGAATGAAAAGTTGGAAAGTAATTGAATTAGGCGGGGTTTGCTTACCCAATATACACTTTGCGCTGTCGAGGGAAATAATGAAGTTGCACAATCTGGCCATGTTATAATGTGTTTGAGTGATTGAGGTTCAAGATTCCCACTAAATGATTAAAGTATACGTTACTCCTAAAGTACTACAAAGGTTGCATACTTTTTTCTAGTAAGTCTTGTCTGGACTAAGATGTTTGTTTGTAGTAAGTCTGACTACAATAAGGAGTTGTTGGGTAAGGGGCTGTTTACATCGTGGGCTGGATAAACAATTTGAATTGGGTAAAATAACCAATGAAAGTGAGCTTTAGCTCTCTTATCAATGACTAATATGACTGGTCACTGGTAAAATCACATATATTCTATCACTGGCCCTAAAAAAGGATGAATAAACGTCTGAATTAAACAAGCTGATAATTGAACTAATAGTTCGTTGTTTTCATTGAGGCATAATTAAACGCAGCTTAATGGCTGAACAATTAAGTCATTGTCCGTTTAAGCCTATTAAGACGAAAGTAAGGAGTACCTTACTCCCCATAAATTACCTAATTAATTGTGAATAACATTATAGGTTTCAATTGACAAAGGCACCAAAACACTGTTATGCATGGAATAATCATGAAAATTGCTTGTTTGAAGGCTTGGTTTTGTTTTGTGTTGTGATTTGTGAACTTTTTTATAATTATCAGCCACCTGAATGATGAACTTATAGTCTGCTTAAAGCATTGATACCCTACTTTATTCTCCTTTATAATTGTAGAAGCTGCAGCTTATGGAGCAAGTGGTGCTAATGAGGTTGGTTCCGGTCTTTTATTTCATAATTCATATAGCTTGATATTTCTCAGAGGCAATTGTATCTTTGGTGAGTTTGGTCCCTCGATTGTTTCACTTACTATATGATGTAATCCTTATTTTTCGATTTATGCATGAGGCCATTCACTTGTCTTGGGGGGGGGGGGGGGGAGCCCAGTGCACATTGTCGCCCCTGCAATGTGATGGTCCGGGAAAGGTCCACCACAAGGGTGTATTGGGGGGGAGGGCTTCCCTTGTTTTTTTATAAGAGGCCGCTGTTAGGGACCTAGAGAGTATGGGATACCAAAATTCCCACACCGAGTAGAATGGGATGCTTGGCGGGGTTCTTAAGTGCCTGGCTCTCCCACCTTAACAGCTAGCTTTTGGGGTGTGGCTCCCCAAGGTGCTTAAGTTCCTAACAAAGGTATCAGAGCCGGTTGTCGGCAAGCCAAAAACGGGCTACCGAAGGAGGGTTTCGACTGGTGGAGGGTTCTGACCGGCGGATCGGCCGAGTGAAGTGCTGCCGAGTATAGCCGCCGGGAGTCTGCTTTTCGGGGAGGGTGTATTGTTAGGGACCTAGGTAGTATGGGATACCAAAAGTCCCATACCGAGTAGAATGGGATGCTTGGTGGGGATCTTAAGTGCCTGGCTCTCCCACCTTAACAGCTAGCTTTTGGGTTGTGGCTCTCCAAGGTGCTTAAGTTCCTAACGGCCGCTCCCAAACTTGAACCCGTTACCTCTCAGTTACACAGCAACACATTAACCGGTGTGCCAAGACTGCCCTTCCAGCCATTTGATTGTCTTAAGCGCTGTAAACGGTCGCCTTGTGTCACTAGCCAAATTAAAATGTATATTGGTGGCAAGTCACCACCACCACCACCTCAATCTCAACTATATTGGGTCAATGATATGAAATTTAGTGTAAATCAATTGTTTGAAATCAGGGAGCGCCATCATTTATTGGATTAACATATATCATGACAGTTTTATCCAGGATGACTTTTTTGTTGCAACTTGCAATCTTCATACACAGGATTAATGGGTTAATGCGGAGAAATTCCAGATACCTTTTTTGTTATAGATCTTTTTTACTTGCAAAGAATATATAATGGGACAACGATTAGTTGATCCTGAGATAGTTTATATAGTCATGTCATTCACTAATTTATAACAGCATTTAATACAAAGTAACATCAGACACATAAACTTCACTAGAATATGAACCTGATTAGATCATTAGAATATTGTAGAGAAAAAGTAAGATTTCCCCTTAATTTAAAATTGAACTATGTTTCTGCTACATAAAATGCTGCTTTCTCTACATGCTTAGTCACTTGATGAGAAGGCTGAGAAAGCCCTGGAATGTCCTTGCATTGCTCACCTTAGGAGTGGTCCCTGTGGTTCACAGTTCTCTGATGCTTTCCTCTGTTTCCTCAAAAGCACAGCTGAAGAAAAGGTATGTACTTGGGTCAAGAGTTTTCATCCTGTTATATGCTTTTGTTGATCACCCCTTTCAACATCTAAAAAACAAATGATCTTTTCTAGATGTATTATCATCTGCCAATAGCTCATCAGAAATTACAAAATACAAAACTCAACAAGATGCCCTGTTTCATTTTGGGAAGAATGGGGTTGTACCTGAAATTTGAGGCCCCGTCTCTCCTATTCCCTAGAATGTAGGTATATAAGTTAAATTGCAGGGGATTACTCATGAAGTCTGTCGTATTGATTTCCGTTCTCTTCGATACACTATGGATCCTATCAATCAGCACCTGTAGGGTTTTAGTCTCATTTACAGGCTCGGTCCTGTATGACCCTTTCAAAGGGGCAGGGAAGGTCCATCCAGCTATTTAGCCCCTTGATTCCCGGGGCACTTGACTAGTTCCAGGAGCATGCATGTTGTTTTCTTGCGATAAAATCTTACGGAGAATTGTTGCTTCCTATAATATTGCAGGGCTCGGACTGTGTTCAACCTTTTGTGGCTCTGCAGAACTGTATAAAGACAAATCCAGATGCATTCTCAAAGGATATCCTTGTTGATGATGAGGCCTCCCGCAAAGAAGAAGCCAGTAAACAGGACGAAATTCCCACAAAACAACATAAAATCATTCCACCAATGTGGTCTGCCCAATCAAAAGGGGCAAAGCACAAGTCATAGAGGGTTATTATGCCTTTTTACTCTCTAGTATAGGGTCCTAATTGAATGTAGTAGCTCTCAAAGCCAGATTTATACTACCCTCTCTGAAATAGATGTGCATTTTAACCGTCTGAGCATATTTAGATAAAAAATAGAGGGATAAAGAATAGAACTAGAGATGCTATTTTACAGTTTCCTTAAAAAAAGTACGGGTAGTAGTGGTACTGGGAAAATTGATCCAAAATTTGTTCTACAGAAAATTGCACTTTTGGTGTCCCACACTTGTGGTGATAGTGGATTTGGTTCCAAATTTAAGAATCACAACGTTGTCTCTCAATTTTTAGCAAGTTTAAACTCCGTTAATTTCTTTGTACAGTAAAAGCCAAACGTTTTTTTTTTTTTTTCATTTACCCCAGTGCCGCAAAGGCTCCCCACCTACGGTGGGGTAAGGGGGGTCGAATGTACGCATTCTTACCCCTGTGTTTAAGCACAGAGAGGTTGTTTCCGGATGACCCATAGTGAAAATCGCGTCCAAAATTGCATGGATTGATTGCTACTTCATAACAAAGAAGCGCAAATAGTTTAGTTACCCATTTTGCTTTATTCCATCATGTTCTCAAGCAAAAAAATAATGAATCTTTGGCTCCATTGCAAATGATGGAAGTAGTAAAAGCCATACGGTGACTCACCAAAAGTACGGAGTACTGTTCACAACCGTGGATGCACCAAAAGTAGTCTTGGACCCGGGCCGGGCTCGGCCGGGCTTTTTTTTGGGAAGGAAGGCCCGGGACCGGCCCGGGTAGCCACCGGGTCCGGGCCGGGCCAGGCCAGGCCGGGCCTCCGGTTTGGTTATAATTTTTTTTTTAATGCTTTCCTAACCCCCCACCCCCCCAAACCCCTCCTAACCATCAAGCCCAACCCGGCTAACCCCAAAAAATGAAAAAAAAAATAAAAAAAAATCAATTCGGCCCGGGCCCGGGCCCGACCCGGCCGGGCCGGTTCGCCAAATACAAGGCCCGAGCCCGGACCCCCCCCCCACCGGGCCTAGGCCCGACCCGGACCCGGACCCGAGAACCGGTCCGGTTTCGGGCCCGCACAGTGGTGGGCCGGGCCGGGCGGCCCGAACCGGGTCCATGACTAACCAAAAGCCCGAAACTGCAAATTCACCTTAAATAGTACTCCCTCCGTCCCAGAATTAACTTCGGTTTTGACTGGGCACGGAGATTAAGAAAGTGGGAAATGTGTGGTGGAGAGTTGTGCAGAGGAGAGAGAAATGTGTAAGAATGAATGTGAACCACAAATCCTTTGCTAAAAAGGGAAAGAGGAGATAAATTTGAGACGGACCAAAAAGGAAAGAATGAAGATAATTATGGGACGGAGGGAGTAAATATTTATCTAGTGAACCTGAAGCAAATGAACAATAAATTCCTTTATTCTTGGACTTATCAAAACTCAAAAGTATGAGTTATCAAAAGTACATTCAATCACAAGCAATACGTAGTAGTTAACACTTTGAAGTATTAATATTGTTGAGGTTATTATGCCCAAGAACTCATTACTTGTTTAATGGTGGTTTTTTTGGGGAGGATGATTAAGTAGGAACAATAACAAAGTACGAAACCAATGGTAACTGCCGCAAACTTCTGGCTCAACAAAGAAGTTAGTGAAGGCGATAGACATTTATCAGAAACTTTTCACAGCACTTTAGAGTGAAAAAATGAGGGCCTGTTTACTGACAGAGATACTTTTCTGTAATTTACTTCTGTTTTTCGTTCTCCAATTTTCTGTTTTTATTTTTCAGTTTTTTTATCTCCAATTTTCTGTTTCTATTTTTTAGTTTTCCATTTTCAAATCTGAAAACATGTTCATCAATTTTTTCACCCAATTCTCCAATTCCACACCCTTGACCCCTACCCCTACCCTTACCATAATCTTACACTCTACCCATACTCCCCCACAACCCTTCATACCCACCCATACATACTCGTAGGGGTCGGGGCAGGGAAGTTATGGGAGGGGTGGGAAGGTCTAGGGATAGGGGGTTGGGTGGGGGTAGTGGGTGGGTTAGGGTCGTGGTTAGGGGTAAGGGTGGGGTAGTGGGTAGGGTTGGGGTAAGGTAGGGGTAGGGTAGGGAGTTGGGATAGGATGGCGGTAGGGCCGGGACCAGGGTGGGGCTGAGGTAGGGAAGGGGTAGGGTGGGGGGTAGGATGGCGGTTAAGGGTGGGGGTAGTGGGTAGGGTTGGGGTAAGGTTAGGGGTAGGGTAGTGAGTTGGGATAAGATGGCGGTAGGGTGGGCCCGGGATCCGGATTGGGCCGAGGTAGGGGAAGGGTAGGGGGTAGGATGGTGGTGGGGGTAGGATGGCGGTACGAGGGTGGGGGTAGGATGGCGGTGGGGTGGGGCCGAGGTAGGGGACATGTGGTAAGGGGTAATATATGGGTGGGGGTAGGGTAGGGTGGGTCGGGGTGGGGTCGAGGTGGTAGGGGGGTGGCGGTAGGGTAGGGTGGATCGGGGTGGGGCCGAGGTAGGGGCATGTGGTAGGAGGTGGGGTAGGGTCGTTATAGGGAAAAATGTGTACGCGGGGTGGGGTGGGTAGGGTAGGGTAGGGGTAAGGGGTAAGGTATGAGGATGGAGGTACCGGAATGGAATCGACATCGGAGCGGGACCGGACCCACCATTAGGTGTAAGTATGCAAATTCATTGCAGCGGCACTGTAGCATCTGCGTTTTCCAAATTTGGAAAACTAGTAAAAGTTATTTTCCGTTTTGGAAAACGATTTGGTAAACGCGTTTTTCTTTTTTCCTTTCTCTAGTTTTCCAGCAATTTCTTTGGTAAACACGTTTCCTGTTTTCTGTAGTTTTCCAGTTTTCTGGAAAACTGGAAAATATCTCTGTTAGTAAACAGGCCCTGACCTTCTCCAAATCGTTTTGGGTTTCATATTGACTTCTTTTCTTACAATCTTACGGCAACCTTTTACAAAATCAGTGCAAGTATATGACCTTAAAAGGACTCATGTTAAGTTGATTCAAATTGGAGGTTCTAGTTTAATTTCTAGTTCTAGAAAATAAGTAATTAACTTTATAACACAACAGATGTAAGATGGTAGAACAACTAGGACTCATTTGTTGTATTTCTAATGAAAATAAGAAAACAACTTTGCTTATTCATTTACCAAATCCGACCATACAACTTCAAAGTAGATCAGACCAAACCGGAAAATTTCGGTCCAATTGAAAACATGCAAAGTATTATATACTTCTTACTTCTTATTTTTTATTTTATTGTAGATGTTTTTAACTAATTGATTGACAGTCATTGTTAACTTACTATTGTGTGTTCCTTTATTTTATGAACGGAGTTTCAAATGAGAAAAAAACTTTTGGGTCCCATATTTCATCAAAATTTAACTTTACAGTCCAAGTTAAAAATATTTTTGGAACTTTTTCACTACAAAAAATATGAAGTATTGGTTATTTCACCCCATCCACTTGCATCAAAATATGTCCGTGCCCGCACCTTTGTTCTAGTGATATCCATCCTCCACTGGGAAAGTAAGTGGGAATAAATCTCGAGTTTTAATGAACTGGATGCAACAACTTGTTCTTGTTGATACATGACCTACAAAAACCATTCTTTCCATTAAATGTTATAGGGAAAACTATCAAATAGGCCTCATACTATAGCGAAAATGGCGTTTAGACCCTCGTACTTGGAAAACTTCCAATTGAGCTCCCGGACTCTTAAAAATCGACCAATTTAGCATTTTAGCAGGTAGGTTTTAGGTTGCCGGTTAACAGTCCATGTGGCGGACCACGTGGCAGCCCACATGGATTTCTTTATCTTTTTCCTTTTTTTTCTTTCTTTCCTTTCTTTTCCTTTCTTTCTCTCCCTTTTCCTTTCTTTTTCTTTCTTTCTCTCCCTTTCCTTCCTTCTTCGTTCGCACACACCAGTTTGTTCAATGGGAGGATTTTGATTTTTGCTCCCACCGATGAAGGGGATGCGTCCAACTCGATGAAGGGGAGGCGGCGGAGATGTTAAGACCCTGGGCTCCATCCTAAAAGGTCAATCTGATAGAAGGAGTAACTCAAAGCCTTATATAGTGTTTTATTCTTTTATAGTTTTTCAGTGTGGGACAAATACTTTAACACGCCCCCTTAGCCCGAATCGGGCTGGACAATATCGGGGTGTATAAATTGGCCAAACAGACCCTTAACAAGCTACCCTTAATCATGGGTGCTAAACAAGCTTCAAACCACAATCGGAATTGGCTCTGATACCATGTTAAGACCCCGGGGTTTGTTGTTCATCATGGTCGCACCCAAAAGCACAACCACAATGAGATTGCATTGGTACTTTGGCACAATTTCTCAAGTCAAACTACTTGGTAGGTTTCGACAATGATCCTTCCGCAGGTTCACCTACGGAAACCTTGTAACGTCTTCTCCCAGAATTTTTTGTAGTCCTCTTTGTTCTCTGTCTTCAACACATCCCAATTTCAAAAATTTACCAAAGTTGTCCCAGAATGTTATGTAGTCCTCTTTGTTCTCTGTCTTCAACACATCCTAATTTCAATAATTTACCAAAGTTCTCCCAGAATTTTTTGTAGTCTTCTTTGTTCCCCGTCTTCAGCACATCCTAATTTCAAAATTTTACCAAAGTTCTCCCATGCTAATGTATACAGAGCGTATGCTTGCTTTGAGCGCTCTAATTTCTTCAAAGTAGTAGCGCCGAAGGCATGACCCAGCCAATTAAGGCCAGGAGCATATCGCCGGCAATAGAGACGAGATGACTGGTGCACACCATGAGGCGGATCGGACGACCCATCTCAAAGTCCAACTATGAGCTTTTTAACTGCAACACCGGAAAGCTATAAAAGAATAAAACATTATATAAGGCTTTGGGCTACTCCTCCTATCTGGTTGACCTTTTAGGATAGAACCCTAGGTCTTAACATGGTATCAGAGCCGAATCGATCCATGGTGTGAGCCCCTTTATGAAAAATGATGACAGGATTATAAAAAAAATAACAATAATGAATCCATGACAAAAATAAATGACGACACGATCAAGACGAAGTGCCTGGTTGTGAGGAGGGGTGTTGAATTTTCCACACCAGAAACTTGTGAAACTTTTGTAATTTGCTCTCATTTATTTCTAATAAAATCTTATCATTGCTTAAAAAATATTAAGATCTGATTACTCCTCCAATCAGGTTGACCTTTTAGGATGGAACTCTGGATTTTAACAGAGTGCAGTAATTTTCAGCGGCTAATTGTAGTGAGCAAGTGGAGTCTGTCGGCCGAGGGATATCGCCAGTGACGACGTGAAGTGTTGGGCCGCGGGTATGCGGTGCCAGCAATCTGCCAGC